GCATGCTAGTATAGAGGCAAAAAAGTCTGAAATCTTTTTATCCCTCTACATTTCTGCAAATGGCATGGTTTTGTTTACAAATAGATAGGAAATGATTAAGAACTTAATAAAGTCATTGTTCGTGTTAGAAAGAATGAAAATAAAAATAGAGGAGGATTCTAAGCACCCTTCTGTGTGAAGACTTGTGGGGACAGATGAAGCCTGCAGGATGAGGATATGTGTGGAAAGCTCAGCTTTTTTTGTGACTGAGGAAGCTGGCAGAAATAAGTGAGTTATCTCTGAAATATGTAAAACTCTCTCGTATGTAAATAGAGTAAACTCTGGTGACTGCCATCTGTGAGAGCGTAAGAGTTCTTGGAAAATGACTCATTCAGTTAAGCAAAGACATGAAACCAAATTTGCATAGTAAAACTATGTGAGTTACAGGGAATCTAGAATGCTGGGTATCAGCACATACTCCTGCTAACACGGTGCTTAGGGTAGTTGTGGAGTCATGGAAAAATTAACAGATACTACACAAGGGGATGAGAAAATTGCTCATAGTGGGAACCACTCTTTGAAACTGACTTGGTTTAGTTGGTGGGACCAAATGTGGAAGACCTGTTATTGTTGTTGTTCAGTAGCTAAGTTGAATCTGACTCTTTGCGACCCCATGAACTGCAGCACACCATGCTTCCCTGTCCTTCACTCTCTCTAGGAGTTTGCTCAATTCATGTCCCTTGGTTCGGTGATGCCATCTAACCATTTCATCCTCTGCCACCCCTTTCTTCTCTTGCCTTCAATCTTTCCCAGCATCAGAATCTTTTCCAGTGAGTCAGCCCTTTGCATCAGGTAGCTAAAGTATTGGAGCTTTATAAGCTTCAGACGTTACTTTCACCACCAGACACATCTGCAACTGAGCGTCATTTCCACTTTAGTCCAGCAGCTTCTTTCTTTCTGGAGCTGTTAGTAATTGCCCTCCACTCTTCCCACCAGCATACTGGACACCTTCTGACCTGGGAGTCTCACCTTCTGGTGTCATATCTTTTTGCCTCTTCATACCATTCTTGGGGCATCACAGCAAGAATACCAAAGTGGTCTGCCATTGCCCCCTGCAGTGGACCATGTTTTGTCAGGTCTCCCCACTATGACCCATCTGTCTTGGGTGGCCCCGCAGGGCAAGGCTCATAGGTTCATGGAGTCATGCAAGCCTCTTTGCCACATCAAGGCTGTGATCCGTGAAGGAGTGTAAGGATCATTTAGTTCCACACCGTTTTGTCAATTAAGCCATTAAAGAAAGAATCCAACTTGTGGATGCACTTGTGATTGCCAGGAGGAAGGATGGGGGGAAGGGATAGTTAGGGAGCTGGGATGGACATGTGCGCACTGCTCAGTTTAAAACAGATAGCCACCAAGGACCTCCTGAATAGCACGGGAAACTCTGCTCAGTGTTATATGTTATATGGCAGCCTGGATGGGAGGGGAGTTGGAGGCAATGGATACATACGTATGTACAGCTGAGTCCTCCTTCTGTCCACCTGAAACTATCTCAGCATTGTTAATTGGCTGTGCTTTGGTGCCAAATAAAAAGGTTAAAAAAAAAAAAAGAATCTGAGGCCCAGAAAGACTGAGTTACCAGCAGGACACAGAGAACTTGAGGCAATGCTAGGACCAGACGCCATCTTCATGGCTGCCTTCTGGACGTGGGAGCTGATTCCCGCTGAGAAAAACCCTGTGCTGATTTTAGTGCATCTCCACAGTGCTTAAGGCTTAAAATAATTATCCCATCTCCTCTGCAAGCTCAGGAGTTTATCAGGTTGGGTGTTCCGGGCACTCTATCTGAGCTTTTTATATCCAGATAATTGACATCTTGATGGTTTTCATGGGATAAGGTGTTTAAGATATTTTTCATGAGATTAGATACTCAAGGCAAATCACAAGGCTGTGTTTTTCCAAGTGATCTTCTCAGATGATGACTTTTCATGTGTGCTGTTTAATGCATTGACATGTCTTGAGCTGTAGGACAGAGTAATGAATTCTCCAAATCTGTGATGAGATGGAAATCCTGCCCTCATTTTATGGAGATGCGTTTGTTTGATGTCTTCAGCTTCTCCTACAACCCTCTCCTTCCTCTGAAAAAATGAGGGACAGTGTCCTAGGAAAGTTGATATGTTTCTGCTCATTAATTGGGGAACTAGTTGTCTTTCTGGTAAAAGGAGAGCTCTACATCATAAAACCAGTGAGCTAAACTGTTTTGCTTTCATTGCCCCCAAAGTTGCAAAAATAGACAAACAAATGGAATTCAAAGTTTCTTCTGCTTACCTAATGTGAATGTAAAATTGAATATTTCTGAGATCTAAAACTGTGGTAAAATTTTAACTTTGTCTGCTAAAGGGAGACAGCGGTGCTGGTAATCTAAGTGAAAGTCACTCAGTCGTGTCAGACTCTTTGTGATCCCATGGACTATACAGTCCATGGAATTCTCCAGGCCTGAATACTGGAGTGGGTAGCTCCTTCTCCAAGGGATCTTCTCAACCCAAGGACTGAACCCAGGTCTTCCACATTACGGGCGGATTCTTTACCGGCTGAATCACCAGGGAAGCCCAAGAATACTGGAGTGGGTAGCCTATTCTTTCTGCAGGGGCTCTTCCCGACCCAGGAATCGAATCAGGGTCTCCTGCATCGCAGGCAGATTCTTTACCAGCTAAGCTACAAGTGGAGTCTAAAAACAATGATCAGTTAGAATCATTTTCAGTTTGTGTTTGGAATTGAGTATATGCATAGTTTGGTAAAAATGAAAATTTCCTAATTAAATTTTGTTTGGACTGGAATTAAAATTTGTCCTTATATAAATGGCATCACCAATTCAATGGACATGAACGTGGGCGAACTCCAGGAGATGGTGAGGGACAGGGAGCTATGGCAGGCTGTCGTCCATGGGGTTGCGAAGATTTGGACATGACTTTGCGAGTAAACAACAGCAACAAATTATTGGAGAATCAGAGTGCCTCGGACCTTACTGGTATAAACATAGAAACTATTCGGGGAGCCAGGAGAATAAGTACAGAGACATGAGGACATTGGAGTTGTATTTCTAGATTGAAGCCTTGAATTGCCCATAGTTCTCAAGCAACTCTAGGCAAATTTCTTAATCTCATTTCCTGTTGTGTGCAATGGGGATGCTAATACTACACACCACAACAGAATTGAGATAATTTATACATAGCACTTAAAAGTACCTGGTACTTAAGACTCTTGAGAGTCCCTTAGACTTAGGGAGTCCCTTAACTAGGAGATCAAACCAGTCAGTTCTAAAGGAAATCAATCTTGAATATTCACTGGCAAAACTGATGCTAAAGCTCCAATATATTGGCTACTTGATGCGAAGAGAGAACTCATTAGAAAGACGCTGATGCTGGGAAAGATTGAGGGCGGGAGAAAGGGCTGACAGAGGATGAGAGGGTTGGATGGCATCAGTGACTCAATGACGTGAATTTGAGCAAACTCTGGGAGACAGTGGAGGACAGGGGGCCTAACAGGCTGCAGTCCACGGGGTTGCAGAGTCGGACAGGACTTAGTAACTGAACTCCACCAGCAACTTCAGGAGTTGTTGAGTCTCTGGGCAGCTGGGCTCAATGGCCCACCTAGTCCCTTGAGGGTGGGAGTGGGGGCCCTGTAACAAGGTGCCACAGACCGGGGGGCTTGTGGATAACAGGAGTTTCCTTCCCACAGGCCTGCAGGCTGGACGTCTCAGGCGGAGGGGCCAGCATGACCAGGTTCAGCGAGGGCCCTCTTCCAGGCTGCAGACGCAGGGCTTCTGGAGCCTTCCATGGCAGAACGAGGGTGGCAGCCTCCCGGCCTCCTTTATGGCGTTAGTCCTGGCTGCGCTGCGTCCCTGTTGCTGTGTGGGCTTTCTCCAGCTGCGGCGGCCCCTCTCGCTGCGGAGCACACGCGTTTGGGCTCACAGGGTCAGGCCCACAGGCTTAGCTGTTCTGTAGCGTGGGGACTCTTCCTGGACCAGGGGTCGAGGCCGGTCCGCTACGCTGGCCGGAGGGCTCTCGTCCGCTGAACCCGAAGGGCGTCCTGGTCTCTTTCAATAGTGCCGCTAATCCCGTTCACGAGTGCCAGCCTCAGGACTTGGCTGTCTCCGAAAGTTCTAGCTCCAAACACCATGACGATGGGGATTAGATTTCTGCGTATGGATCTGGGGGAGGGGAACACAAACACCCAGGCCATCACACACCCTAACCTACTATTTCTCCTTTAAGGTTTTACTGTTGCTGTTCTGTTCTTTGATTTTTTGTTTTGTTTTGTTTTTAGACTAAATATGTGTGCTAGAAACTCATCTGTCTTTTTTTTTTTTTTTAATTTCTGCATGAAAGAGAAGAATATTTGCCTAGTTGAGATGAGGCAGAGAGGATAGTTACATAGCCCGTTTCTCTTTATGTATGTATACATGTGTGTATGTGTGTATGAGTCTGTCTGTCTATCATCTCTCTTTCTATCTAGGAAGGTCTTATTCTTTGAACTAGTGATAACATCTTACTGGTTTCCTCACTGATTAATGAGTTAAATAAAATCCTTAACATATAATAATTTTATACCAATATCAGAGTCATGGTTCTATCTCCCTTAAAAATGACCTTTTAACAACCACAACTAAGAACACATTTTCTAAACTGATAAAGAGGAGAAGAAATTAGGAAGAAAAAAAAAAAGACCCACACCCACAAAAAATGGCCAAATCCATGTTTTTGCTCATGTGTCAAAAATAAGTCAACTTTGCATTCTTGGCTTGCTCCAAATTAGAAGACAAGGTCACACCTAGTACCAGGAAAGCTGTGACAACTTCTTTGTTGGTTTGCTTTTAAATTCGGTATTCGTGTGTGAGTTACGTCACATGAAAATCTGTAGATGTGTGGTAAATTTAAGATGTACATTTCAAATCTCTTAATACAAACATGAAGCCATAAGCAACCAGGGGCATGAAAGCACTCTTTATTGAACAGTCAGATGCACATTTAGTTGGCGAGTCTGTAGTTGACATGGATCTCTGGTTTCACGTCACAGACGATGCTTAAAAGCTCGTTGATCACACTTTCCATGGACTTGCTGTAGCTTGCATGCAGTTCTTTTATCTTCCCTAGGGTTTGCACTTCTATTTCTTCTAAGACATTGCTCTGAGAGCCCATTATCTACCAAAAGAAAACAGAATTCACTACACTGTACATCATTTTAAAATTTACTTGTTTTGTAAGTTAAATTCCATTTGGATTATCATTTTTTTTTCCAGAATTTTCTCAGAGAATGGATAAGGTCACCAACGCTGTGAGTGGGATGGGTAAACTTTTCTAAAAAATACACAATCTGCAAAAAAGGTCAAAGCTGAATCACTATGCTGTACAACTGAAACTATATTGTAAATCAACTATTAAAAAAAAAAAAGGAAGCTGGCCACAGCAGGTGACTTCTAAGTTGACCTTCACACAGTACAGATTGAGGGCAAGTTCACAATCATTATATTAATACCATGCTCAGAAGTTTTTTTCATCTATTTACGATCGTTTCCACTGACTTCCTGTGTCCTACTTTCTGAATTAAAAGTCTGGCAAATAAAGTTGAAAGACATCATTAAACCCATTATTGCTGGTCTTTAAAGAGCAAATAGCTGGTTTGTGAGTTTTTAAAATACATTATCTGAACTCTTTAAATCTGTCTTTTTAGGAATATACAGCCACAATATGCCCCATAAGATACCTTCACAAGCCCAGATATATCATTTATTGTGTGTGTTCAGATACTCAGTCGTGTCCGACTCTCTGCGACGCTATGGACCATAGCCTACCGATTCCTCAGTCCATGGGATTCTCCTGACAAGAATACTGGAGTGGGTTCATTTCCTCCTCCAGGAGATCTTCCCGACACAGAGGTTGAACCCATGTCTCCTGCACTGACTTCAGTTTTTTTTAACAGGGAACCACTTGGGAAGCGCATGGGTAGGTATATTCGACGCATTTTTGATTTCAATAGTTTCCACTTGCCATGCGTTTACCAGAAATTAAGCCCAGTGTAAGCTGAAGAAGACCTGTACATGTTGGTTTAGTCCCATTGCAGCTTTAGACTCAGTGTAACTTATCTTTCTGGTTGTTTTTTCACTAACAGTGATCATCAGTATTTCCTATCGGCTCCTCTCTCTCTTAGCTTCTCTGTCAAATAATGATATGATTGAAATATAATTTCCATGAACAGTATGAAAAAGCAAAAAGATAATACCCGAGGAGTTACCAATTTAAAGAGATTCTGCGGTGAAACCCCTTGTACTGTTACCCTTTGCTAGAGCAAACAGTCAGCTCCTAATTGGTCTCCTCTGTAAACTCAGCGTTTCTTGAACAGGGGATTGTGAAGGCAATACAGCTGGCTTTTGTTTGTTTGTTTTTCTCTTCCCCGAGTGTTTGGGGAAAGCATGTATTTAATTTAGTCCAGGAGACTCCAGTGATGATTGACTTTCACTTCAAGGTTGTTAAAATGACTGTTCTAAATTCTAGAATCCGAATGATCTTTCTGAGTCCCAAACTTGAAATCGAATGTCACTGAGGCATGAGGTTCAAGTTCTTTTCTGTTTATAGTTCAGTCAACTGGGTCTTTCTAGTTCAAACAAAATCATTTTGAAGTGATACAGCTTCTAAGACATCAAATAGCTTTTATAAAATAGCATTTTGATAAGTGTATACACAAGAAGCACAGACATGTGAATGGAATTTTCCTTGCTACAAAGATGTTGAAAAATAATAGAAAACTACTTACCAAAGTAGTTCTACCAAAATTTAAAATTTCCTCTAAATCCAATATTGGATTTTATACCAAACTCAAAAAAAAAATTACCATTACTAAATTCAATGTCTTAAGTAGTGAAAAATTTAAAAGACACACTGTTATAAAACTACAATATTACCTATTTTTTTTGGAGAAGTATTAAAAATAGTTATTATTAGTGTGGATTACTTCAGCTGTCCCATTGGACTTTGGAAATTTTCATCTCAGCCTTAGGATCTTTATTTTTTAAATGAGAGGTAACATCAAATAGTTAACAACCTATTTGATGGGTTTGTTGTAAAAAGTCAACCAGATTTATGAGTGCAAAGTGTGCAGAATTGTAATACCCTCAAAGTGAGCCATAAATGTAATTTAAAATTTTCTAGAATTGTATTTTAGAAATTGGGAAAATTAGCTTGAACAATATTTGTATGTAGCCCAATATAGCCATGGTATTATTTTAATGTAAAATGTAAAATTATTGCATTATTGTTTGTCATGACAAACCTAGGCAATGTATTACAAAGCAAAGCCATCACTTTGCCGACAAAGGTCCATCTAGCCAAAGCTATGGTTTTTCCAGTGGTCATGCATGGATGTGAGAGTTGGGCCATACAGAAGGCTGAGCGCCAAAGAATTGGTGCTTTCAAACTGTGGGGCTGGAGGACTCTTGAGCGTTCACTGGACAGCAAGGAGATCCAACCAGGTAACCCTAGAGGAAATCAATCCTGAATATTCATTAGAAGGACTGATGCTGAAGTTGCAGCTCCAATCCTTTGGCCACCTGATGAGAAGAGCCGACTCACTGGAAAAGACCCTGATGCTGGGAAAGATTGAGGCAAGGAGGAAAAGAGGGTGACAGGGGATGAGAGACGGCATCACTGACTCAATGGACGTGAATTTCAGCAAACTTTGGGAGGTGGTGAAGGAGAGGGAAGACTGAGGTGCTGCAGTCCATGAGGTCGCAGAGAGTCGGGCACGACTGAGTGATTGGAGAGCAAGTTCCTGCAACCTGGCGTGTATTTTATTTATAGAATATCTTCATCTGGACTAGGTGCACTTCAAGTGCTTGGTAGCTGCGTGAGACTGACCATCGTTTCTGACAGCTGTAGGGACAGGACGACAGGTGACAGCTACCAGCATTCGGTGTAGTCTTAATGTGCTTTGTTGAGACAACATAATTTTCTGAAGATGTTTATTATGAAGTGATGTTTAGCACAGAAGCTTAGCACTGAGCAAGTAATCAGTAAATGTTAGTAATAATTATTATGATTTATCACTGTGTTACTTGCACTTTAAAATTTGTATAATCCATCTTAAACTTTCAGAAATGTTGGAATACCCTTTTAATAACCCAAACTCCTGTATTTCATCCTGTATAAGTAAACATATTATTTCTGAGTTTATTTGATCCACAATCATTTGAGTTTCTGCAGTATTTCCTAGACAATATGATACCTTGACTCACTACACACCACTTTATTTTATTTCTCAAAAGATTTCTTATAGTTTTTTAAATTTTATTTTTAATTGGAGGATAATTACTTTACAGTATGTGATGGTTTCTGCCATCCATCAGGATGAATTCAATGTGGACAATTTTAAAAGTCTTTATTGACTTGTTGCAGTATTGCTTCCATTTTTTTTTTCCTGCCATGAGGCATGTGGGATCTTAGATCCCCAACCAGAGATGGTACCTGACCGCCCTGCATCAGAAGGTGATGTCTCAACCACTGGACCACCAGGGAGATCCCCATGTACCATTTTAAATGGTTTTCCTTGGGAAGAACTCCATTTGTATCTGAAGATTGTGCTGGTTTAAGCCACACAGGAGTTACATGAATGAATGCAAGCTCTTCAAGGACCAGGGTGAGGGTTATCTCATCCACTGATGAGTTAAATTGCCTCGAACGCTGTCAGGCACATAATAGATGCTCAATGCGTATATTGAACGGAAGACAGTGAGTGGCTCACCAGGTGTTACAGGAAACTCATTACCTGTGCTCTGTTGCTCTGGCTGGTCAAAGCCTGCTGTTTGAATAGCTGGGACACTGTGTAAAATAGAAGTGGATAGTTACGTGATACACAGCAGTGCATTTGGTCAAAGGCTACCGTTGAAGGACTTCTCCTTGTGAGTTTGCAAACCTTCAGTGTTGAGACTGATGCGTATAGCTTTACAACTTAATGACCAACAGTGTTGGTGAAATCTTTCAACATTCAATGCGTTTCTTTGTAAGTTGTGTTTCAGTTTAAGGGTAACAGGTTCAGTTCCTTCACACAGTTTTGCATTCTCAATTTGTAGCTGCTTCAAGGAAACAAAAATATTTTCATAATATGAATTTAGGAAGAAATAGTAAAGATATAAAAATCTTCAATATGACCAGGGCAATCATTTTTAGGTCTTTTGTTTAGATGCATGGTCAGTCCACCTTTTATTGGCATTAACAATATTTAATATTTCCATGGTACCAATCTACTATTCTCCTCATTGGAAGATGCTATTTTGTAGAACTTTTCCAAGGTCCTGCAGGATGGTTGAAGTAACAACTGTATCACTAGAGATGTGCCTTTTTGAGTATATCCTATAAATGGAATCATAGAGTATACACTTTGTGTCCATATAAATGGAATGATACAGTATAAATGATGGCCTTCTCTCACTCCCTGGCGGCTCAGATGGTAAAGATTCCACCTGCAATGCAGGAGACCTGGTTCAATTCCTGGGTTGGGAAGATCCCCTGGAGATAGGAACGGCTGCCCACCCCAACATTCTGGCCTGGAGAACTCCGTGGACAGAGGAGCCTGGGGGGGCTACAGTCATGGGTCACAAAGAGCTGGACATGACCAAGAGACTTTCACGTTCACTCCCCTCAGTGTAGCATCTTTCTAGAATCATCTAAGCTGTTGCCTGTTTTACTAGTTTGGTCCTTTTCCTTGCTGAGTGGTATGAAATTTTAGCAAGTGGTAAAGTAAAACAAGGAATAAGAAAATAGCAAGGGATCAGCACATCTTTGTTATAAAGATATTCGCTAATATACAGCCCACACTGGGGTACTTGTTTCTCTTAATAAGTCAGGGAATTGGAAAATACATTAGCAAGAGCTAAAAAGCAACCCCAAAAAGTAGCAGCAAGGTGCAACCCCAGCGACAGGTAGAGAGCTGGTTTCTTGGGTCTCCTCCCAGACTTCCTACGTGCCCTGGGTTAATGATGATGAGCTTTAGTGGACTAGCTCTCTGTCTGACATATGGGGGTCATGCCAGGAGAGAAGATCTGTGCCTGTGGTTTGCAATATACTTGAGGTAACAGAGGTCTAAACATGCTGACCTTTCTATGTGAGCTTTTGATCAACTAACTGTAAAATTGGCTTAGACCTCTAATTATGAGAGCCATGAGGAGTTTTAATGACTCTCTGATGCAGAGAATAAATATCCTGAGCCAGATTTACACTGTAGGAGATTCTTCTGGAGAAATAATATTTCAAGGGAGTAAACCCAGCTACTTTCTAAAATGATGGTCAGTTTTGTAAATACTTAAAAAAATAGTAATGAGTATGTTAGAAATGTCCCACACAAGATCTGAAAAGCTGACTGGCATCAAGAAAGGTTATTTTCTTTTTTGGGGTCCTAATATGTCATGGGCTTACCAGGTGACACAGAGGTAAAGAATCTGCCTGCTAATGCAGGAAGTGCAGATTCGATCTCTGGGTCAGGAAGATCCCTTGGAGAGGGAAGTGGCAACCCACCCCAGTATTCTTGCTGAGAACGTTCCATTGACGAAGGAGCCTGGTGGGCTACAGTTCATGAAGCTGCAGAGAGTCAGATATGACTAAGCATATACAGACACATGACAGAACTCAAAAAGAAAAAGTCATAGAAGAGATGCTCAGTTATTCATTTGTACAGTGAATATTCATTGGATACTCATGGAGGAGCAGATGCTGTTCCAATATCAAGGAAAGAAACAGAACAAAACAAAAAACCATCACTTTGGTGCTCACAGTCCAGGAGGAAAGATAAACAATAAGCAAAAAAAAAAAAAATTTAAATATATAGTATATCCAGTAGTGATAAATGCTCTGACTATAATGGAGATCATATTTTTTTAACCAGAGACATTATTTTAAGCAAGGTGATCAATAAGAAGAGCTAACACCAAAATAGAGATCAAGGAGAGGTGAATGTATATTAAAGAAGATCCATGGAACAGATATAGCATATGCAAAGGCCCAGTGGCAGCTGCCTACTTAATTCTTCTGGGGAAAAATGAGGAGACATATGGCTAAAATAGAACAAGTAACAACAAAAGTAGTAAAAAAAAAAAAACAAAAACGTTACAAATGGCCAAAGTAGATTTGTTGTCTATTGCTAACAAGACTTCTGGTATTTCCTTATGATTTCCTTTTGAAATAGCTGGCTTCACTCCATAAATCCTTCATGACAATATGCTGTTTCCTACCCTAGCATTTGATGAATATGTGCAGTTCAGAGTAAAAAGTAAGTGGATGCCATTTTCAGAGCTGACAGTTTGGGGAGGTTCCCAGGGCCAACCATGGAGAGGGTGTGTGTACATGTGTGTTCTTGGAATCTTATGAGTTCATTTTCCAAATATTGATAAGAAGGAGTTGCTTTTGCTAAGTTGCCCACTTTATTCTAGAAAGGACATTTTATTTTAAGAAATAGTCCCTTGGAAAAGTTTTTCCTACCGTAGGATCTAATGTACCTGATCCTACATGAATTCTGCACCAGATGCCACCAAAATCAAAGTTGTAAACAGATTTACAGACTGCTTGTAGTTCATCTTGCAATGTCCAGCTTCTACACAGAGCTTTATTTATAATTTTGTTGAGGCAAAAAGAAAACATACAAACTTTAGTTATGGCAGATGGAACTTAATCGTTTCTTTTAGTCTGTGTTTGCAGTCGGCTCAGAAAAATTCATGCACTTATATTTGTTACTGTAAACTGTAGATATTTTAATCATACTAGTGTAGGAAAAAGCTCTTTTTAATATTTTAATAAAAGATTTGTTGAATGAAGTCAACCAATTGAAAAGGAAATCATAAGGAAAAACCAGGAGACGTTTCAACAATTTACAACAACATCTACATGGATCATTTGTAAATCTTGAGTTTGCCAAAGGAAATTTGGCCTAACAAGCTCATTGCATAACACCGTGCAACACATTTTATTGATTCTACTAGTAAACATCAACGGACAGCAACGAGAAAAAAAAATGTTTTTTTTCTTACTTAAATGTGTTAGTCGGTAATCTATAGCAGGAATAACACTTTAACCAATTCCCTTCACTTGTAAATTTGAGAACATGATTTTTAACCTATACTGTGTTAGATAATAACTACTGATTGATACTTTCTCTGACAAATCAAAATGCCTTGGAAGTGAAAATGTAAAATCAGTAATTTTGTAACATTTGTTTGAGGGACTTTCCTGGCGATCAAGTGATTAGGATTCTGTCTTCCATTGCGGGGGATATGGGTTTGATCCCTGGTTGGGGAGCTAAGATCCTACATGACTCAGGGCCAAAACCCCAAAAAATCAAAGAGAAGCAATATTGTAACAAATTATAAAGACTTTAAAAATGATCTATCCATATCAAAAAGTCTTTTAAAAAAAAGTGATTTTATTTGACATTCAGCCTTGAAATGAAGTGAAAGTTGATCAGTCGTGTCCAACTCTGCGACTCATTCCACATCAATGGGATTCTCCAGGCCAGAATGCTGGTGTGGGTGGCCTTTCCCTTCTCCAGGGGATCTTCCCAACTCAGGTCTCCTGCATTGCAGGCGGATTCTTTATCAGCTGAGCCACAAGGGAAGCCCAAGAATACTGGAGTGGGCAGCCTCTCCCTTCTCCAGCAGATCTTCCTGACCCAGGAATCAAACCAGGGTTTGCTGCGTTGCAGGCAGATTCTTTACCAGCTGAGCTACTAGAGAAGTCCCATATTTGGCCTGAGTTGAACTCTATTTCCTGCGTCCCGTGTATTTTTCTCTCCTTGGTAGCATGCATGATGGACTTCCCTTGTCGTTCAGCAGTGACAAATCCATTTGCCAATGCAGGAGATGCAGGTTCGATCCCTGGGTCGGGAAGATCCCCTGGAGGAGGAAATGGCAACCCACTCCAGTATTCTTGCCTGGGAAATCTCATGGACGGAGGAGCCTGGCGGGCTACAGTCCATAGGGCCATAAAAGAGTCAGACACGGCTTAGCAACTAAATGGTACCAACATTACGTGTGACACTTAGGAGAATCAGTATCTTATTATTAATGAATATATTCATGCCTTAGAGTCTATGCTGCAAAAAAGCTGGTGCTGACTCTTTTACTCACCTTAGCCTGTTTCTGTCGAAATTCCTCATCTCGCTGCATTCTGTACTGATCAGTTTCTGCCATCGCTTCCTCCTTGGCTTGGCGCAATCGCTTGACTTTTCCTGAAAGTTAACAGGGGCACAGAAGGAATGATATTTCTTTTCAACACATCTGGAATTTTCAACTTGACTTTTAAAAATGTGGATGCGGTCTTACATTTTTTTTTAGTTTTTTTTTTTTTTTCCCTAGGATGACACCCTTCATTAAAAAAATGATAGATATTGAAAAATCCCTGATTTTTTTTTCAATTGGATTCTTTAGAACATGGACATGACAATGTTCTTTCACACATCCATGTTTCAATAAAATACCTGCCCATTTACTCACAGCAGTACCAGCCAGGGAACAGATTTTAGTTGTCACTGACTCGAGCAGACATTATTTGGTCAGATTTTCTGTCCTGATTTGCTGCCAGGAACCCTTCAGTCCACACCAACTGGATTCTATTTAATACTGGCAGATCTCCAAGTGCACAAACAGGCTACTCAGACTCTATCAAACTGACTCGCAATCTTTTTAAAGTATTTTATTGGATTTTTCTCTTCCTGTTGTTGACTCTAGAAAGTCTGATTAAGCCCCACAACACATCAAAGTAGATATTTTTTGTAGCAGCTTTCTCTGAGGGGACTTGAAAGTGATTGTAAAACCAATTGTTTTTAATGGCGAGGAGATTTAGTTAAGTAGCTCTCTTTTCTTTTATTAAGAGCAAAGGTGTAAGGCTTAAGCCAGCAGACAGCAACGAAGATCAAAGTTTCAGACAAGCGTGGAGCTGTGGTGATCATCAGGTAAGCACTTGACTTTATTTGACAGCCAGAGGAAGTTTGGGGGTTACAGAGAAACAGTTATCTCTGCTAGTCACTCACCACCCGCCGCCTTCAGATACTCAAGCTTCATGAGCATTAAAACTTTGAAGAAACCCTGAACTGTATTAAAATTAATTTCCCCCAACCTGCTGTCTATTCTAGCCACATGCCTTTATCCTTTTGCCCCTCTAACAACATACCTCCTTTTCTTTGGTAATGTCTCTTAAGCTTTTGTTGATGGTTTTGGTCAAGGGTTTGTTTTAGGGTGTAGTGCGTGCCTGTGAAGTCGCTTCAGTCGTATCTGACTCTTGGTGACCCTGTGGACTGTAAGCCCGCCAGGCTCTGCTATCCGTGGATTTTTCCGGGCAAGGATACTGGGCTGGGTCATCGTGCCCTCCCCCCGGGGATCTTCCGTACCCAGGGACGGAACTCATGTCTCTTAAACCCGGTGCATTGGCCAGTTCTTTACCACTAGTGCCACCTGGCAAGCCCTGTATGGTGTCGACTTGGAGCTAAATGAGTGTATTCTCAGACACAGAAAATAAACTTATGGCTACCACAGGGGACAGTGGGGGAGAGGGGTAAGTTAGGAGTTTGGGACTAACACATATGCACTACTAAATATAAATATGGGCTTCCCAGGTGGTTCAGTGGTAAAGAACCCACCTGCAATGCAGGAGACATAGGTTCTATCCCTGGGTTAGGCAGATCCCCTGGAGAAGGAAATGGCAACTCACTCCAGGATCCTTGCCTGGAAATCCTATGGATAGCAGAGCCTAGCGGCCTACAGTTCACGGGGTCGCAGAGCCAGACACAAGTTAGGAACTAAACAACAACATATATAAATATATAAAATATATTAATATAAACAACATGGGCTGTACAGCAAAAGAAACTATGTTCAATATTTTCTAATAACATATAAGGGAAAATCATCTGAAAAAGAATGTATATATATGTATAGATNAGGAGACCTCCTTCAGAACAGATACTTTCCTCTAAATTCTCTGTAAAAGCCAAGGTCTCGTGAACCTGAGTGCACTTCTAATGCTTGAGACTTAGTGGAACATTCACAGCAATGCTCACCTTTTCCTACTTAATTAACACTCCTCCCATTTTGCATCTACAGACTTATCCAATTCTCTATAGTTCTAGCCATTTGGTGGCAATTGAACATGCATCATCCGTAGAACAAATAGATGATATGTGGGCATGGTATACTCTTCTGGGCTCCCCAGCCCACTTTCTTATCACTGCTCGTCACTGACGTTAGGACAAAAATGTATTTAAGATGTAGCAACATTTTCTTAGAATGGATTGTAGGATACATAATGATAGGTTGCAGGATCCGGTTTTATCCAATCAAGCTCATAAAACATCATGGCACTCCATCTTAATTGCATCTTAGGTAAAAATACTGGTCTTAAAGTCATGACTCTAGCACATGGAAATACTGCTAATAAGAAGCTCTCCAAGTTCCCTGCCCCCAGAAGCATCCAGGACTCCACTTAAGAGGCCGCACACCAGCTCCATCACGCAGCGACAAGCCGAGAGTGTGTCTGATTCCCCTGCGTGGCACCGGTCACCTGCTGGTTCTCATTCAATTAAAGAGGAGAGTCGCGGGGAGATGGCTGCTGGCACAGCAGTTTTCTGGAAGGACTGGGCAGCTGCTGCCCGTGATAGCCCGCATATGTTCTGCCTGATTGCATCCAGGGCAAGAAGCAGGGAGCCTCAGGCCGGCTGTCTCATCGGAGGCGAAGCAAAATGAGTGCCTCAGATCTGCTCCTGTTAACCTCTAGCTGGGGTCTTTGTGCGGGAGGTTTCCCAATTTTAAAATTACACCACCTTCAGAAAGACAAGTAGCCAAAGATATCACTTAAATGCAGAATCTAAAAAAATGATACTAGTGAACTTATTTACAAAACAGGAACACTCACAGACTTAGAGAACTAATTTAGGCTTACCAGGGGCAAAGGGCGGGAGGAATAGATTGGGAGAGTGGGATGGACATGTCCACCCTGCTGTATTTGAAGTGATATCCAACAAGGACCTCCTGTCCAGCACAGGGAACTCTGCTCAATGTTACATGGCAGCCTGGATGGGAGGGGAGTTTGGGGGAGGATGGATACATGTGTATGGATGGCTGAGTCTCTTCGCTGTTCAGGTGAAACTATCACGTTGTTAATTTGCTATACCCCAATAAAAAAGTAAAAAGTTTAAAAAAATATTCTGTAATAACCTGAATGGGAAAAGAATTTGAAAAAGAATGGATGCTTGTATAGGTGTAACTGAACCGCTTTGCTGGACACCTGAAGCTAGTCTAGCATTGCTAATCAACTATACTCCAGTATAAAATAAAAAAAAAAACAAAAAAAACAAAAAAAACAACCAAGAAGGTGGCTGACACACGTTCCCTAGAGGGGAAATAATAAGAGACATTCAGCCCATCAGTACTACTGTCTGTCCACAAAGTCGCCCAGTCTTCTGGGTCTTGTTGATACAGCAGCAAAAACCACAAGCAGATCTGTGTAATGCAACAGGGGGAGGCAGAAATAGAAGAGAGACAGTTAAGGATATAATACGGCAAAGATGATGAATATCGTGCAGGAGAACAAAGGCACCTAAGGGTCAGAGAGTGGGGTGGGTGCTAACACAGACAGGGCAAGCCTCTCAGAGGATGAGATACACGAGCAGAGACCTCAAGGAATAAAGACAGCTGGCCATAGCAAATACCTGACCGGGAAGAGCATCCCAGGCAGAGGGAGCAGCAGACAGAAGCCCTCGAGCGGGAACGCTCCTTGACCTGTTGAAGGAGCAGTAAAGGCATCCTCATGGCGGGTCCCAGGTCAGAGGGAGCAGAACGGTTGAGTGTTGGATGACATCAGAGCGGCAGCAGCGAAGCCAGGACACAGAGAGCACGTGAGGATGATAAGGATTTGGGTCCCTGAGATGCTAAAGCCGTGAGGGTTTTTAGCCAAGATGTGGCGTGCTACTACTTCTGGTTTACACGAATTTCTTTAGCTGGTGTGACGAAAACAGATTGTAGGGGCAAGGGAGAAGCAGGAAGATGGGTCTGGAACTTACTGCAGTGGTTCAGACAAACGTTTATGATGAGCGGAAATAGCAAAGCAGCCGTGGAACTAATTAGCAAGGAGTTACATATCCTTTGAAGAAAGTTGAGGGATAAACAGGAGGGACATGTGAGCCAATGCTGGCTCCAACATTTTATTCTGGGGCAAAGTCAAGAGGGCAGTTTAATTGTGATGCCCATTAAACATCTAGTGGAGAGGGGAGAAGGCTGATGTTTACATAAATCTGGAGATCAGGGAAACAGGTCAGGATGGAGACATAAAGTTTGAGATTTATCAACACGGAACCAAGATTTAAAGCCACAGAATTAGATGCAATCTCCTAGGAGTCGTCTGTGGGTATGGAAGAGGACACGTCCGGGGTGGGGGCCCCTCTCTGGAGACTGGCGAGATGACAGAAACTCCAGCCTGAGAGCAGGGCTTCAGAGGCCAGTAAGGGAGGGCCTCGGAGATGAAAGAAGAATCAGCTGTGACTGAGGCTGTTCATTAGTTGGGTTTAGCTACTTTGCTGGTCTTGACAAGAGGGGGCTCTGACGGAGCTGGAGGGACAAGGTTCTGATTAGAGATTCCGGAGCAAAGGGGATTTTTTAAACGTAGATTCAAGGCATACAGGCAACTTCTTTGAGAAGTTTGCACTGACAAAAGCAGATAAGGATGCAGGACTGTCCAGTGAACCTGAGGACCAGCGGATGTTAGACTGTGTTTACACATCTCAGAAGTCTCTTTACATCTGGTACCTGCGAATGTGACCTCTCTTGGAAAGAAGGGTTTCATAGATGTAGTCAAGTGAAGATGAGGTCATGCTGGATTAAGATGGCCCTCTATCTGAGGACTGGCGTCCCACAAGGAGAGGAGAGACTGCCCTGGAGGTCCAGAGGTTAGGACTGTGCCTTCCAATGCAGGGGTGCAAGTTCAATCCCTAGTTGGGGAGCTCGGATCCCACATGCCTCGTGCCCCACCCTCCAAAAACCAACAGAAATCATATTGCAACAAACTCAGCAAAGACTCAGAAAGGGCTCACATCAAAAACAAAACCTTGAAAACAAAAAACGAGAGGGAGTTTGGACACAGACGTAGGGTCACAGAGCAGACACAGCGATAGCCGCCTGCTTGCAGAGGCGTGTTAGAAGGATGCGGCTCCCGGCCAAGGGAAGGCACGGGTTGCTGACC